TAGATGTGGTCAAACAAGAGATGACAAGACTGAACATCGACATCTTAGGAATCAGTGAATGAAAATGGACAGGAATGGGTGAATTTAATTCAGATGACCATCAGGTATACTACTGCAGGCAAGAATCACTCAGAAGAAATGGAGTAGCCTTCACAGTCAATAAAAGAGTAGGAAAAGCAGTACTGGGATACAATCTCCAAAATGACAGAATGATCTCAGTTCGAATCCAAGGAAAACCATTCAACATCACAATAGTCCAAGTCTATGCCCCAACCACTGGTGCTGAAGAGGCTGAAGTTGACCGGTTCTATGAAGACCTACAACACCTTCTAGAATTAACACCAAAAAATTATGTCCTATCATCATGAGGGATTGGAATGCTAAAGTAGGAAGCCAAAAGATAACTGGAATAAGAGACAAGTTTGGCCTTGGAATACAATATGAAGCAGGGCACAGGCTGGCAGAATTTTGTCAAGAGAATACGATGGTCATAGTAAACACTCTTTTCCAACAACCCAAGAGACGACTCTACACATGGACATCACCAGACGGTCAACACAAAAATCAGACTGACTATGTGCTCTGCAGCTAAAGATGGAGAAGTTCTATACAGTCAGTAAAAACTAAACCAGGCACTGACTGTGGCTCAGATCATGAGCTTCTCGTTGCAAAATTTAGGCTTAAATTGAAGAAAGTAGGGATATGCACTAGGCCACTCGGGTATGACCTAAATCATATCCCTGATGAATAAACAGTAGAGGTGACAAATAGATTTAAGGAATTAGATCTGATAGACAGAGTGCCTGAAGAACTATGGATGGAAGTTCACAACATTGTACAAGATGTAGCAACTAAAACCATCCCAAAGAAAAAGAAATGCAAGAAAGCAAGATGGCTGTCGGAGGAAGCTTTACAAATAGCTGAGGAAAGAAGGGAAGTGAAAGGCAAGGGAGAAAGAGAAAGATACATCCAACTGGATGCAGAATTCCAGAGAATAGCTAGAAGAGATACGAATGTCTTCTGAAATGAACAGTGCACAGAAACAGAAGAAAACTACAGAATAGGGAGGACCAGAGATCTCTTCAAGAAAATTGGATATGAAGGGAACATTTCATGCAAAGATGGGCATGATAAAGGACCAAAATGGCAGGGACCTAACAGAGGCAGAAGAGATTAAGAGAGGTTGCAAGATTACACAGAACTATATAAGAAAGAGCTTAACATCCCTGATAACCATGATTGGATGGTCACTGACCTCGAGCCAGACATCCTGGAATATGAAGTCAAATGGGTCTTAGGAAGTCTGAGCAACAACAAAGCTAGTAGAGGTGACAGTATTCCAGCTGAGCTATTCAAAATCTTAAAAGACGATGCAGTAAAAGTGCTATAGTCAATATGTCAGCAAATTTGGAAAACTCAACAGTGGCCACAGGATTGGAACAGGTCAGTTTACATTCCGATCCCAAAGAAGGGCAATGCCAAAGAATGTTCAAACTACTGCACCATTGCACTCATTTCACATGCTAACACAGTTATGCTCAAACTCCTACAAACTAGGCTCCAGCAGTATGTGGACTGAGAACTACAAGAAGTACAGGCAGGACTTCAAAGAGGCAGAGGAACTAGAGATCAAATTGTCAACATACGCTGGATCATGGAGAAAGCTAGGGAATTCCAGAAAAACATCTACTTCTGCTTCATTGACTATGCTAAAGCCTTTGATTGTTTGGATCACAACGAACTGTGTCAAGTTCTTAGAGATGGGAGTACCAGACCATCTTATTTGTCTCTTGAGAAACCTATATGTGGGTCAAGAAGTGGCCGAGGTAAGGGAATGGATGAGGGCAAATAAACTGAAACTCAACCCAGACAAGATGGAGGTCCTGTTGGTTGGCGGATCGGGTTTCGAAGAGGGTGGATTTGACCTGGTCCTGAATGGTGCAACACTCCCTCTTAGGGATAAGGTCCGCAGCTTGGGAGTACTCCTCGACCC